AGGAGGAGGAGGAGGAGGGAGAAACAATCAGCATCAGAGGTGAACCTTTCATCCGGATATCACACCTTACAACCTTTACTGAGGTTATCAGGTTTGTCACTGAACCACAGGAACGCAGTGCACAGGTCAAGGACGTATACTATAAGTGTGCCGCTTTCAATAATGTCTCCCTCAGGGACATTTGTTGAAGTCTGGGCGGATTGAACCACAGCAAAATATAAACTGCTTTCTCATAAACTACATCGACTTCAGTGTTGTACCTTTGGCCCAATTCTCTCATTATGTCTGAGTACAACTCATGTGAACTGGCATGCCTCAGAGGATTAACTACTCTCCTGGACGGAGTGAAGCAACAACAGACTGTAGCCTTTTCCATGCTTTGCTGTTTATCTACTATTCAATACTTGCACGTTTCTATATAAAAGATACTGTAGTTGCATCTTCCTGTAAGTCATGTCCCTCTCATGTGAGCTTGTTTTTCTGAGCTTACAGTTATTTATTCAAATCAGAGAATTAAGGTCTGGTCCTGAGGGAGCAACAGTATTCAACTGCAATCAAGATTCTGTGTCCTTAATCCAGACAGTGTATAAGCTGCACAGAGACAATAGTACAGTCATGGAAGCTTAATTCTCACCTCTCCCATTCTTCTCTGTCGAGTTCATTGCCTGTTTCTCCTCCTGTGGTGTACTCTGTCTCATACTGAGACTCATCCAGCTCAGGGTTACGTCTGCGTCTCTTGCCCCTGTTGGCAGAGGGTTTTCGGCCCCCGCCTGTCTCCTCTGAAGGGCTGGAGCTGGTTCTTCCACCATGAGAGAAAGCCTCTGATGGCCGGCTGGTGGTTCTCTCTGAGTACCTGCAGGACAGCAACAAAAGCATGAAAACATTGGTAATGAATGCCTTCCACTGGAACCACTTATTACTTTATATAAGTAAAGAGGACTGAAACCAGAATACGTGTTTGTTTCTACTAGCAGTAAGGTTGTATACAGAATGCTGTATTATTAATGCACTAACCCTATTTAAACTAACATTGAGTCTTGCATTCAGTCATCCTCTCAGGCTGTCTACATCCACAAAGCCCAGAGGGTTAAAGAAAGTGTCCAAGTCATTCTCTACTGTATATAAAACGTACTGCTGTGAGGACACTATAAATCACACTGAATATATCTAAATGTCCCCATCCACAGTTGAAATTATGTCCTTTGCTACATAACAAATCAAGCAAAAAGCTAAATTACATAAAGAACATCGTGACACAAATAACACCAAGAACTTAAGTCTCTCTGATGTGAAGCAGTGTCTAAAGAAGACAGATACGATATGAAGGAAGGTAAACACCTTGAACCACTAATGATTATTGTTGCTCAGACTCTACAATTTGTGCCATGTGGACGGCCCTCAGTGACCAGGAAGCAGGTACAGCTCTTTCATAACGAGAAGGAGGAAACATGCTCAATTTTGTACGTTTGTGGGGATTTGCAGAGGAATCCAAATCCAGCGGTGCAGATATTACAAGTTCTGCATTATTAACAACAGAGCACACCGCAAGTCTTCAGGCTAACATTCTTCTGCTTATGAAAAACGGTGTTTACTTTGTGAGAGAGGAAATCGTCAGTACAATATTTTGCACTTGCATCCTTGCAGTTGTCTACGTAAAGGTTGATTATATCTGTGAACATTAACAGTGAAGTCCACATAATCAGGTCATTTAGAGCATAGTTTGAGCTAGGCTTGTTTTTTTTTCAAAGGTACTGAGTAAAGAGCATCGTACTTTCAGTCACACACACTGCAGTCTTGAGGACGTTAATGTAAGCAAAAAACAAGGTACTTGAGAAGTAATTTCTAGCTTTGAAGAAAAGCAAATACATTTGTTCACAAACATCCTGCCTTTTCCCTTCCTCAGAGATTTCCATGAACATGAAAAACAAAAAAAAACAACCCAGGGAAAGTTAATCCAACACAAGCTCAAAGGTCACACACAGAGCTCTTTTTGTGGGTAGGGCAATATGTTTTCATGGGCTTTAGAACGGAGCAGTGATTAGATATTGCTTGTGTGAATCGCATGTTTAGAGGTTCATTGTTTGTGTGAAATCTTTGCTTTACAGTGTACAGAAATCCAAATTCTGCATCTGTCCGAGTTTAAAGGCAAGACACAATAATTCTGCATCCTTCAGTCACTTAGTCAGTTATCTTGTTATGAGCCAAATATATTTTAATGACTAATTTTGAACTACTGTAGCCAATTTAATTTGATTTGGGTTAACTTGCTTACTCACATTCATCATATATAACCATGCTCATTGGTCCTAGTAGCTAGCAGAGTGATATCATTGTGCAGAGGTATGTGTTTTGAAAAACGTTAACATTTTCAAAAGAGCGTTGTTGGGATCTAATTTTTTCATTTGTCCCTCATCCAGGCGTGGGTGGAAGCCAACAGCCGTCTACAGTCTCTCCGTGCCTCTCTACAGCTCCATATCGTAATGTGTTTGCTACACAACGGCCCACTTTTGAGCGATCCGAATCAGGGGGTCGGATTTAAAAACCCCTTCATACCTAAACCCTGCCCATATGCTTTGTTTCACATCTAAATACGTGAAAGTACAAAAGACAAAGATGCTCTAACTTCTGTTTCAGTGTGACTTTAAGAAAGTGTTTGAAATCAGCCAAAATGTGCTTCATCTGATTTATATGTAGACTCTAGAGCTGCAAAAGGGGGCTGAGAATAAAGAAAAACCCACTCGTTGTTGTCGTCTTCGTCCCCATTATAGGAGCTGCTGTCCACCTTGGCTGGGGGGTAGGAGATGACACTGTTTGCTGAGGCGTTGAGCAGCCCGGCTCCCTTCTCTGACACCAGCAGGGTAGGGGCGTCTTGAACACTGCGATTTTCCTCCACATTGTTCACCTACAGTAGACAGGAAAAAACAGAAGGAAAAGACTCAGCAAACACAAACAAACAACCATAGCACTCACAAAGACCAGGCCACGCTACAGGCTTATTTTCTGACTGACATCCTGTTAAAGAAACCATTATTTTTCTCTTCTTTTCCTTAGGTCTAAACTTTGAGGAGAAAATAGGAAGAAAAAAAGTAAACCTCTGCACCAGAGACAAAAGTTTGGTAATTAGTGCTTGGTAGTTAAAAGTTTGAAAGAGCAGTCAGGCATGTAATTGGACAGCACAGTCCAACTCTTCAGTGAATTGAGGGTTATCTGTATGGTTCACCGTGCTTGAAAAGGTCAAGAGAACAAAAACAAAGGATGACTTAAGGCTAATTGTAAATTAAATCTAACAATAATACACCAAACCACCTTTGTGTTCTCTTGTTTACAGCAAGTGTCCCCATATTTTAAGTCTGTTTCTGATTCCGTTATAACCTAAAAAGATTAGATGTATGGATATTATATATACACAGAAAATATCAGACAATAAATCCATCTTTGCTTTCACTTCTTTCTATTGTCTTGTGTCTTCATGGACACCTGGAACGGATGTGCTCCTCCTTTCTTTCTTCACAATAAAGGAAACAGAGTCTGTCATGTGAATAAGTTCGCCTTAATCTGTATTTCCAAGTCCTTCCTGTGAGGTCAAACAGCCTGCATGAGGGAATTCCTCACAATGAAGGCCTAAGGGGCGGTCACGGCTCCTTCTACTTCCACTGGATTAAGTAAATTCATCAATCATTAGATGCATTTTACGCAACCTCTACACATAACAGTGGAGTCTAAACCCTAAACAGATTTTACTGTTTGTCTTCTACCTGGAAGTCTAACTGGCTTAATGTTAGCAGAGTACCCTTTGGTTGTTTATCAACTGTAGCAACACAAAGAAGACACGGGGCCACTAAAAGACAACAAAAAGAAGATTAAAAATACATAAAATAGTTAATTGCATATGTAAGTAAAGGTTTTAAATCAAGTTTAAAATCTAGAGGCACAATGTCTGGCTTTGTTCACAAAATAGCACTGAAAATGTTTGTGTGATGTATCTAATACAAACACCCAACTTTTGTGGAGCAGGAGTAACATCCAGGGTTATGCTCCTCTGAAATAAGATATCTGACATCTACTACACCTGCACAAGAAGACTGTACTTGTCTCTATTTCCAAACTATATAACACAAAACATTCAACCTTTTTTAGGTGGTACCTTACTGAGCAATCGCCTAAATTCCTCACAGTGCAGGAGCAGAGCCTAACATCGGCCTCGCCCCCAAAAAACAATAATCGTGGTGGGTGGAGTGCCTGGGTGGGGGTGAGTTGCAGCTTCTTGCAGCTGCAGGAGAATATGCACTTCATATATCTCAACAATGCCCCCTCAGTGTGCAGCACAACGGCTGCCGGGCAGAGGGAGCAGAGTATGTGAGCACAGTAAGAATGCCTGAGAGTCCTGGACCTGGTGGAGAAAGCAATGGTGGAGACAAAGCGGTGGATGTTGATGAGGGAAGAAGGAGCAACGGGGAGCAGACAAGGCATGGGAGGGTAAAAAAAAAAGCAAAGTGAGGGAGACGTGCATGTAACAGAAGGAAAAGAAGAGCAGTGGCAAGGAGAGTCATGATGGGAAAGAGTAGAAATCAGGGTGTGTATGAGAGAAAAGATTTTAAAAATGTCTACTTAAAAACCAAAACCCACTACTAATGCTTTGCAAAAACCAGGGAGAATGCTTCAACAGCAGCCAGTTTTATTGAGCCGCACACAGACAGCCCCTACAGAAACCGACTGTGATGACCTCATGCGGCAGACACAATGCGTCCCCCCTGGGCGAGCTGAACGAGGCCAGTGTATGAGGTCATCAGAGTATGCCAGGGCTCTGCAAGCTCAGCAACAGAGATGGGTCCAATGTCAAACCAACCACAGCCTCAGACTGTCACCGGGCCTGGTGTTTAAAGGAGCCAAACAAGCCAGATGACTCATTTTGTGGCACAGATACAGTACGCAGGTAGCATAGCAACAAAGACATACATAACTGCAGTGAGGAACATGAAGAAATATGACGAAAATTAGGCCAAGAGGGCAAATTCTACCACACTAAGAGCCTGTTTATTGAGGCTGTTACAAAGATAACGTATATACATATGTAGATATACAATAACGGCACACTATGACCTGCTTAAAGTCTTCTGGGAGCAAAGTCAAACATACACAACCTACATACATGTTTTAATCTTTGAGACTACCTTGAATAAATAATGATCTGATTGTAATGACGTGTAATCAGATCCTCTAAGAATTCTTTGACCTTTTCCATTTTTAATCCCAAATTCTTCTATTTTTACAGCAGTATTTACATCAAAAATGTCAACAATCGTTAAATGTAGCAGCGTACACTTTATTATTGTACCTACAATAAGTCCGATGACATCAGTGAGCATGGCTCCATTATCAGACACTAGTGCTAGTCACAGGATTCACTCTGGGCTTGTCTCGTCTACTCTGCTCAGCCTGTTCACCTCCGCGTACATGATGCCATGTTCTAGGCAATGACAACCACTTTCAACAAACAAACTCTATATAATCCAATATAACACCATGTCTGTTTAGTGTTTCTTTTGGTAATTTTCAGTCAGTGCGAGAGATAAAGTGTGACTCACACAGCACTTTCTGCATCCTGCAGTGACTAACTTCATCAGATTACAGACTCCTTTAAGTATACAGATATGTATGGTTACACATGGTGAGTGGAAGGTAGCTTAGTTTTCAACTCCTTACTAAAATAACACAAGTAGCCTTTCAATAAGTTATGGACGACTTATTACTGGCTGTTAGTTTGGTCAACAAGATGGGTGGATGGGGGGTTGAGGAGACACGGTCAACTAGTAATACTTAGTTTTGGTTGATAATAGTTTTCATGCATGCTTCAATTGTGTATACTGTATGCTACGTGCTCTGCACAATGTTTGTTGAACAAACACTGGATGTGGACATTATGTATGGGGGAAGGATGCTGACTACAGGAAATATTCTACACACCCCACAATAACAAATTGCTGTGACTTCTACCACTGTAGGTGAGGTCAAGGGAATTATGTGTGACATCAAATCATTTGACACTGTAATAAAACTTAATTACAGTTTATTGACTAGTCCTAATTTTAACACTATAGTTGAGGTCAAGGAAAATATTCAGGACACAATTATAATGTTCTCACAAGTTTCTTTAAGTTTGATAATTAGGCCTGCTGTGGCATATTTATGACATGGTTTTATGACAGGTCTTGGTTAATATTAAGCTGTCATAACAAAGACATCTCAAACAATGTCAACTTTGCATTAAAAGTGACATAACTGACCCATAGGCCGTGGCGTCACCCTCCTGTCACTCAAAGCAACAATCCCCTTAATTATACATAACTTTAGGACATTTTAATATCGGGGCTTATAGAGATTGAATCACGTCAGGTAGCCAGCCTCAAGCAGCCATTCGAGGAACTGCTGTTTTTATAACTTCCGTATTGGCTTCATTTACCAGAATGCTACTTGAATTGTTTGATAGACACTTAAAGACGACAGTCATAAACATTCATAAAGACTCCTTCATGTCAGTCTTATGCACACTGTATAGACATGTTGGTGTTTTAAATCTAGTTTACTGAATGTCAACAACAACCCTATTAGAGCCATTTATGCCAATCAATTGAATTTTTAAACCTGAGCTGTTCATGTTAACTCATTGTCATTCACTGTATGAAACAGGCATCGTTTGAAAAGTGGCAGGTCGAGTCAATAATCAACCCATATCTCAGGTAACAGTCCCATAGGACCATAGTGATGTTGACATTTAAAAACCCAAAGGCAGGCTCTCTAGAAACCACCTGCCTGCTTACTATCTTCTCAGGCGGTTAATGATTACCTAGAGTGAAACCAGGTAGTAGACCATGAGCAAACAATCGCTGACTTCTATCAGCCCTGACCCCGAACAAAGTGACTCAGTCAGAGGAAACACTGTAACGTTAGTGTGACTGTTTCCCTTGCTGGATCCTACAGTATAAACCGATAAAGATCTAGATATAATGCTTCTTTTGGACTTTCAACTCATAAAGACAATTGTTAAAACTGGTGAGATTTAAACTGGTGATCAGTCTTTCTATGGTCACATGGTATCGACATGTCAAAAAATAGCATAACAAGTGACCACAACCTCAGGAATGTGCAAGTTCGAGCTTGGCTATTTACTGCATCTTCATCACCACACTCACCTAACCCATCTTTATAACTGATGACTACCTTAGCAGGATGACTACCTCACTGATGACCTACGTACGTACCTACTCAGCATTGTAAAAACAGGTGGAGACTACTTTGTCAGTTTTGGTGGCCGTACCTTCTATGAAAAACCACCGTAGTCGATCATTTCATCATCTAATCAAATCCGTTGGTGAACACTGTGTTCCATCAACTTTCCTTAGGCTGGATTTAAACTCTCTCTGACCCTGTTCATTTGACTGCAAGCTGTGCATGCACAAACTCAGGGTCAGCTTGGGTCGAAAATATGATTTTTCTTTGCAAATCCCATGTTAACCCGGTCTTATTAAACTGCGACTACCATCCTGTCATCTCTTACCCATTCCTCTACATCCCTGCCCTCCGAGGCCTTCCCGCCGACAAGGGGCTCGTCCCAGTAGATGTTTGGTTTGCCGTAGCGCCAGATCTTCCCTCTGGTTTTGTGTGCGAAGAAAGCTGCCACACCGAAGGCGATGACAACCAGGAATCCACACACCATAGCAACTCCCTAGAAAAGCAAGTACATGAGAAGAAAATCTGGAAAGTTGTCAAGGAGATAAGCTGTGAGATAAAGCCGGTTTATCCTGGTACAAGACATACACACATACACACGTGTGACGTCATTCAGAGAAATACATATCACAAATGTGTATAACCCAAAAATGCAGCACATGCTTTTATGATAACAGACAAAACGTTACAGGACTGATAATAAAAGACTACGGTTTCCAGTCCACATTTATCTCACTTTTCCCACATTAAGCTTTCAGCTTTATACACTGTTGTTTCACAGTAAACCTAATACATTTCAATTACATTAATTTGGTGCTGATATGATATGTGAATGAATTATTCTATGAGCACAAAACTTTGTCATTTAATAACAAAAGAATACCAAACATTCATTGGTTCCAGCCTCTAAAACGTGATTTACTGCTTCTTTGTTTGATATTATTGTACAGTGAATATATTTTAATTAAAGACATTACTTTAAGTAATTTTTTTGTTAAATTTAATTTTAATTTGTTAAATTCTTTTTTTTTTTTTTTAAGAAAAGGAGATGAATTGATGAAATTGTTACTTGAAGCCCTAATTTATTTATGCATAGTTCACATATTGCAATCTGAAATGAAAATATATTGTGTGCCCTGTTCATCCAACTCAAAATACCTTCCATAGAGAGTATTACAGTTACAACTGTAGCCCAATCAATTTAAAATCATATTATAAACCTTTAAATTAGATTACTACATCTACTTGAAATGACCCTGAGGAGGATCTGGGAGTAAACCCTTGCGGTGTCACATCAAACGCTACAAAATGTCTACAGGAAAAGCTACGCACCTCCTGTGGGTCCACAAAGCAGTAATGGTAGAGATACTGGTTGTATATGGGGAAGCCTCCCACTCCTCCCATCTGTGAGTAGCTGGTCTGGTAGAGGTTCTGGCACATCATAAGCATCGGATTGTACATCATACTGGAGGAGCCCTGGGCCATGGGGTTCACCCCGACGATGTAAACAATGTTTATGATTCCCTGAAAAAAATATATGGTAAATTAATTTCAAAATTAAGTTAGTCTCTCATTGGATGACACAATCATATAATCCCAGTAATTTGCTGTAATCATGTAAAGGGTAGAGTACAAGTACAACAACAAGGACTTTTATTTTGGACAAACAGACCTTTAATGTTTCTAGTGTTTTCTAATCTGTCTGGAATATGTTGTTGGAGCTTAATCAGCTGGAGTCGCCTGGAAACATCTAAAATAATTCATATTTAATGGATGCTTGATATGGTAAAACATGTTCTTTGATTATATGCTCTTCACAAATAGCAACCCTATAGGTTTAAGAAACTAATGTAAACCTCACTTGAATCAGAACTTAGCAGAAAAGAAACAGAGATGTAAAAATAAAAACCAAAAGAGTTTAGGATTTAATTAAGCAAAAGCTAGATTAATATAATAAATGTACTTTAACTGAACACTCGCGTTCCATATTGAACATATAAACACTAATCCTAACCCCAGCAGGTTGGAATAAAATCAACACACTGGATAAAATACTTTTCTGGATCTATGGTACTGTTACATAAGCAGCATAAACATTTTGGTGTGATCCTGGACAAACATCTACATAAACATGTGTTTTAACCAACTCAACCAGAGGAACACTGGGATCTGAAGAGAGTTAAACTGTGTACACAAAGTCCTGTTCCAGATTACACTTCTGGTATTCAGGAATTTTCAAAAACATGCACATTTAAATACCGTTCATAACAGAGCAAGGAGTTTTCACTGTTGGTTGGGATGTGGGATGGGAACCTCCCAATGTTAAAGACATTAATGTGAGATGCTTCAGTGCTGTTAATATAGGGTACAAACTAAATTTCTCACATATGATTTTAAAACACATACGATGTTGACCCATATATAAGGCAGCAGCATTTAGAGTTCAACAATCTCTGTGTGTGATTCAGGATTGAAGATGGATTCCAGTTAAAGCATTATTGTCCCTTACAAAAAATGCCTGTTTTAACTGGGGAATCCCAAGATATTTGCTAGGAGACAAAATATCTTGTCTACAATGTGAGGTCTGTGTAGCAGATTCAATTTTTTGTTTAGTATACAATATTTAGTGTATTCAGAGCCTCTGTGGGCAAGGGCACATGGTGTGTGTGACATAAAAATAAACAAAAGGGATACACTTGAATTTAACAATATACAAGGAGCAGCAAAATCTACGAGAAATAAAGTCCTTATTCAGGAACACACAGTGCTTAGCTCTGGACATTACTGGATTAGGAAAAGCATTAAATCAAAAGTGTATTATCTGTAACAGGAGTCAAGAGTCAGCAGCTCTCATTACCAGACACATTTTGAAGAAGTGAGTCTGAATTTAAACATATCTTTGTTCTACTTACAGAGCATTGTGATCTCTACAATATTTAGCTCTCCTGCGCCTCTATAGAGAAGTTAAGCTGGAGATACACTTGCTGTTTAACCACACATACACTTTATGTTATTTTCTGAGGAAGGGCGCAAACAACTGTCCTAACTGACGCTGAATACACCATCATACAACCGTGAACGTGTAGTTAAAAGCGAGTATATATTGTATATTTTTGTCAACACAAGGTGACTTAGAGACTCTAAATGAGGATGAGTCTTACCTGCAGGACAGCCATAACGATGCTGCTTATCAGGAGGGCAAGAAAGAACTTCCTACTGCGGACAGTGTTGGATTTAGAGAAGCTGGTGATGAAGAAGGCCAGTGCCCCAATGAAGTTAATGGCTGCCATGGCAATCATGGTGGTTTTGGCTGAGTAAGGTGAGATGTAGGAGCCGTAGCTGCTGCTGCCGTAGCCTCCATAACCTCCATAACCTCCATAACCACCATAACCACTGTATCCTGAGCCGTAGCTGCCGCCACCGTATCCGCTGCCGTAGCCCATTCCCATTCCCATCCCCATTCCGTACTGCATGTCCCACATGAGAGTGGAGGCCACACAGGCAAATATCGCCACACACAACACGATAACCGTGGCCATCATGGCCTTGACGATTCCTGGAGGTGACAGCCATTTGTAGAAGTGCTGCGGTCTGTCCTCAATGTAGTAAGATCCCGGCGGCGGTGGGTATGCGTTGTAATCGCTCTGAGGGCCATGGAAGCTGCCTGGAGGGCCAAAGCCGTTGTTGGATGGCGAGGTGAAAGGAGGACTGTAGACAGGTGGACTCTCGTAGCGCTGCTTGTCAAACATGGCTCAAAAATGGCCTGAACTGTAAACAAAAACGACAAAGATTTTGAGGATAGTCGAGAGAAAGAGAGCAAGGTGTATTGTACAAAGCGAGGAAGAGCTGGCTCTGTTTTTCAGCTGCACTGATATGCGTAATGCTACATGGAGATATGGGAAAGTAAGGCGTGACTGTCTTTGGTATTGAGGCTTAGTAACAGGACGGTGTAAATGTTTTACCATTTTCAAGGGTGTGTGATTTATGAGGGCACGAGTTACGGTTGTTTGTGCAATTTTCTCTTTCTGTCAGGTTGAGTAACTTTTTACAGAACAGAGAGTTTATCACTTCTTATCCTATCATGAACTAGATCAGACCGGCTGTCCTGCAACAGAAAATTAAATAAAATATTTGAGGATCGACCTTAGCTTTGAGGTCTCTGAACGAAAGCAAAGTCAGAATCAGTGTGGAGATGTCGGTACCAGGACGGGGAGTGCAGCCAAACAACAATACTTTCCTTTTTGCCTCTTCACAGGCTGTAGGAGTCTCTCTCCAGCCCCCACAATGTCAAGCCAGACTTTGAACATTTTCACATCCCATCCTCCAGCTAAAGATTTTTTGTTTTCTTTCTGTTACAAATCTTACAGAGAGACATTCAAGGCCACAGTTTATACGACTTAACAATGACCATTCTTCTGCAGGGAGCCCTGCAGGGAGTGGGCTGCCTACATGTTTGAGTGAAAACAGCAGGGCAAAGTTACTGTGGAGGACAAAAACTGAGAACATTAATGCCTCTTTTTACTCTTTTCCTTTATTTGCCAACTCTAATCTCAGCGTGATATGAACTCAATGCTGAGTGCAATGTCTTAGTAACAGACTGTAACATAACCACAATAACACTCCACATAACAATAGGAGAAATGAATCATTACTAACAATCATTAATCCATGGGGTGCAACTAATGATTACTTTTGCT